CAGCAAAGAAACTTGAAAAATAATGTCTAATCTCAATTTAGAAATGTAGTCATCCCTTGGTATCCATTGGGGATTGGTTCCATGACCACCCACGGATACCAAAATCTGAGGATGCTCAAGCCTGTTAATACAACGTGGTGTAATATTTGCACATCTCCCAAATACTTTAAATCACCTCTAGATTACTTATAATGCCTAATGCAATGGAAATGCTGTGTAAATGTTATACTGTATAATTTAAGTAATAATCAGGAAAAAAGCTTGTACGCATTTAGTAGAGATGCAGCCATCGTAGGTCTGACTACATAGTACATGTCAGCAGCAGCGTAACATATTTTCTAATCCACAGTTGGTTGAATCTGTGAATATAGAACCCACAGATTTGGAGGGCCAACTGTGATAACAAGACTATCTTTATTGCCATAATCTGTGGAAGTTATTTAGGGTGGAACAAGCCAATTGTCAAATGATAAAGTTAAAGTGAGTTCTGTTTTGGGTTGAATTGCCCTACCCCACCCCCAGATCCATATGTTGAAGTCCTAACCCCTAGTATTTCAGAATGTGACCTTATTTGGAAATAGGGTCATTGTAGATATAATTAAGATGAGGTCAGACTGGAGTAGAGTGGGCCCGTAATCCAATATGAGTTGTATGCATATAAAAAGAGAAAATTTGGACACAGACATGCGCAGGGAGAACCTATGTGAACATGAAGGCTGGAACAGAGCCCTCCCTCAGAGCCCTCAGAAGGAACCAGCCCTGTCAACACTTGGATTGCAGACTTCCAGCCTCCAGAGCTGTGAGACATCACATTTCTGTTGTTTAAGCCCACCTGCTCTGTGGTACTTTGTTACAGCAGCCCTAGCAAACTAATACAATTCCCAATATTTTATTTGTCTTTAAAATTTAAATTTAGGAAAATTCAGCATTTGAAATTTTGTCATGCCTTCATTGAAGAGGTGTGAGAACCATTTCTCTATAAAGAATTTTAGAAGGTGTGGTTACGAAGTTCTTAGGTTCCTGCTCAGACTATATAGCAAATGGCTACTCAATCAGTTTAAAAGGCAGGAATTTATATGAGTGCAAATCAGCAGTGGGAGTTTCTGGAGTATGTGTTTTCCTCCCATTTATGGTAATAGAGAGGGAGATTCTTTACAGCCACCTGAGAGGGGTTTCCTAGAGGTGCAGTTGACCCTTGAATAATGTGGGGGTTAGGGGCGCCGACCATCTGTGCAGTTGAAAATCAGAGTACAACTTAAGCGGGCTCTCCTCATATGTGTATTCCCAGCCACAGACCGAAAATAGTTTTCCACTATTTGAGATCTGCGGTTGGTCAATCTATGGATGTGAAACCTGGGGATACAGGGGGCCAAGTGTATATTTATTGAAAAAAATTACATATAAGTGGACCTGGGGATACAGGGGGCCGAGTGTATATTTATTGAAAAAAATTACATATAAGTGGACCTGCGCAGTTCAACCCAGTGTTGTTCAAGGGACATCTCTGTTTGGATTTTAGAGTTGGTCTCTTTCTTATATATGAATGAATAGTACCCTGGAGAAATTAGAGATGAACAACTTTGAATATATATATGTTTCAGTGGACTAGAAAAGAATGGCCCGTGCTTTTCATGAGAGCAGTAAGTATCTTAGAAGGAGAAGACAATATGGCTAAATTGGGAGTGACCCTGGGAAACCCCTGGGGCCCAAGAGGAGCTGGCTATGCCCACAGGACAGTTCATTATAGATTTGGATTCAAGAAGCCCTGAAAAAAATAACATTGGAACTCATACCTCGACACAACTTCCTAACTATTCTGGTTTTCTAAACAGAGCCACGTAAGGGTGCCAACAACACGAGGTGCACCACGTTCAAGACTGACTATACAGGCCAAGAACATGGACCCTGGAGTCAGTTTAAGTTAAGGCTCTACCACTCACGAGCTGTATGACTTGTGGTAAATTATTTCCATTCCCCTTGAGCCTACGCTTTCCCAGGTATAAAACAGATAGTCCAGGTACCTCCCTGGTAGGATCCTGTGACGATTAATCTATGTGAAGCAATGAGCAGAATACCTGGCACGTGTTAAGTGCTAATAAATGTTAGCGAATAGCAGCAGCAGGTTTGTGGCCAGTGTGGCGCCGCTCCCTCACCCCCTGCATTTAGTCTGTATCTTCTGCTGTAATGTTACAAACTTAGACAGCTTTAGGACCCATGCCTTTGAAATACATCTTAATGAAACAGGGCCTGGAGGTGCCCTCCCGGGATCTGCTGCTGCTCTTCTTTCATTTCAAGTGAGGAAAATCAGGTCATGGCGGTGGGGGTGGGGAAGGAAGGCCCTGGGTCCCCTGGTTCACAGTTGTTCTTTTTCACATGCTGCTACCTTGTAAATCACAGAACCATGTGACCCTTTTCATTCCTAATTAAGCCTCAAAGCAGACTAATTTTTATGCTCTACTTTTGTGTTTGACATTTTTCTTAATAAACAGTTTAAAATTATTGAAATCTTTGGACTGAAATGAAATGATTGTTTAAAGCAAATTAGAATATGGTCTCTGTTAGGGAACAGAAAACTGGTAACAGTGGCTGCCTTTGGAGGGACTAAAAGTAGCATTAATTATAGTGGTATACTCGTATTTTAAGGTATTCCTGAGGCCTATAAATTCTGGAGAAGAATCAATTCCTCCACTTAAAGATTAGTGGAATAGGACAAGGAGGAAACAAGTATATGCATTTATTTGAAACTCGGAGACTAGATTCAGATAAAATTTTGGAGCTGTCCCTTGTAATACCCACACTCTTTTAACACTCACTACCCAGATTTCAGGGGCCAAATAGGTTTGGACAGGGAGAGATGCTTTGGTTTCATCTGGGTGAGGACTGCTCCTGTGACTTGCATGGACGTGCCTCTGCCTCTTACTTAGTGGGTGACCTTGGGTAAATTTCTCAACCTAAGTCCTCATGTGCCAATGGATGGAGATGATAAGCCTTGTCCTTACCTGGTACATAGGGGTTTGCAGCATAAAATGAAGTCATGTGAAAATGAACTCAATTCTAGGCTCAGCCTGGTTAAAAGTCTAGAAGCTTAACTTGAGCTTTTAGGAGAGAAGTGTTTTCATAAGCACTTTTTCATGGTAGGCTGGACTTCTCAAAAAAAAAGAAAGGGGAGGCCAGATAGTCAACTATGCTTTGGACACTTGATAAGACACTTCCGTGCGCGTGTGTTTTACAGTGTGACGCTGGAGCCTCCTGCTTTCTGTTTTAAAACTCACGATTTGGAGAGCCAGTTTACTTCTGACTGGCTTCCTCTTTTCTGAAATGGAAGAAACATTTTGAAATAAAATGATCCAAATGTGTTTTCGAGTTATTTCCCATAAATTTCAGAGCACAGCATTCATGAAAGCATGGATAGTATCTGTTTAGCTCCTATGGTATCATGTTTAATTTAGGTAGCAAATTCTTTTTTTTTTTTTTCTTTAAGATTTTATTGGGGAATTGGGGGAGGGGAACAGCGTTGGGGAATCTGGGGAGGGGAACAGACAAGTTGCTGTCCTTTTGTTCTTCAGTCTAGTTGTGGAGGATGTTGCTTCACTGGCCCAAGTTGGCACCATCATTGTGCTCTTCCCGGGTGAGGCAGATTGGTCGCCAGCCTCTGGACAGCCACTCACAGTGGCTCTTGGCAGCTCACATGAGCTGCTGGCTGCTCACACTGGCTGCTGGCCACACATGGTAGCTCACAGCAGCCCACTGCAGCGGGGGCTGCAGCCTACGCCGTCGCCAGCGACTCATGGCAGCCCAGCTCCAGGTTGAGCTGTTGTTCACCATCTTAGCTGTAGAGGGCAGTGTCACTGGCCTTCATGTGGGATCCGAACCAGGGCCCTGCTGCACAGAGCTGGCGTCCCAAGCCAGCTCTTAACCAATATAGAAAGAGAATAATATCCATGATTAAGTATTAAAATGGAGAATATGGATGAAGGTTGTAGGGGAGTTCTTTCTACTTTTGCAACCTTTTAAAGTCTGAAATTAAAAAAAAAGAGAGTAACTTAATGAAGTTTGTCACGAATTAACGGATTTATTTATTTATTTATTTATTTTTTTGTACCACTAGGCTGTTTATTGCACATCACTGGTTTGGGGGATGATGACTTGCAGAGAAATATTAATATGAAAGTGTGACAAATGAATAATGCCATTACAAAACGATAGGTAGAGCAACATAAAAGGAGTTGATAAATGTCAAAGCATTTTTACTATATTTGAAAAGTAATTCTTTATAGACAGCCCTCATATTACGTAGTATTATGATTCATGTACACGGTATATCAATATATTCAAAAATTTTTGTGGTTTTCACTTTTAACATTGAATTCTTTTCATGACCAAGTAACTGATGTTTGAGCACGTTGTTCAGAACCCCCTTTGGGTCAGTTTCCTCTGTAAAATTAGGTGCTGGACTAGATTAAACCTTCAGTTCTAAAATTCTGTGACCTCATAACTAGAGAGAAAATGAAAGTTAATTTTCCCATTTGAGTCGAAAGCTGTTGTTAAACACAGTCTGTGTGCCAAGGGACAGTGTAATATTTATTTAAACTCACAGATATTTTTGTCAAAGAAATTTTTGTTGAGATTTTATTTAATCATAGATTTCATTGGTATGCCACTTAATGTGCATTAATGATATTAGTCAATTTAATATGGTTTAAATGTATATATTTTTATAAGATTTTCCATTGAAAACTTGGTTAAGACTCAACATTAACAATGAAGGTTTATTTGGTCTTAATAGGTATATATATTCTGATATGTACTCTGCAGCCTAGAAGGATTGTCAAGATACAAGGAGCTGATGATGTAAAAACTAAATTGATGTCCAGTGTGAAGCAATTTTGGGTTCTATTTAACAGAAGCAAAACTATGTTAATCCTTGTTTTCCCCTCACCCCTCCCAGCTTGGCGACCCCGCTGTTTTTCCTGCTGTAATCGTGGAACATGTCCCTGGTGCTGACATTCTCAACAGTTATGCGGGTCTAGCCTGTGTGGAAGAGCCCAACGACATGATTACCGAGAGCTCCCTGGATGTCGCTGAGGAGGAAATCGTAGATGACGATGACGACATCACCCTCACAGGTGTGTGTGGCCCCGCCGCGCCTTCCGCTGCAGTCTCAGGCAGCGTGCTAGCCCTGGGGTTTGGGGTCGCACCAAGTCCCTAACTGGGTTTGAGTAGCTGTTCCCTGCAGGAAGGAAAGCACATCCCCTTTCTCATCTGCCTCGGTTGTGTAGCGCTTTCTCACCTTCCCTTTCTTCTTCCCTAAATCTCTTGAGATGAACGTGACAGAACAGGAGGCATGTAAGAGGAACCAAACCAACTCAATTCAGCAAGTCTTCTCTGAGCACGTTTTATACGCCTGGCTCTGTACTGATAACAGTGAGAAGTTGGTGGGGAAAAAAAGATAGGAAAGTTCCGCAAGAAGCAAAACCGGAGGCCATGATCAAATGTAGGATCAGGTGCTGAGGTTTAAAGACGATCCCTCTTCTGGGTCAGTCAGAACTGCTAGGATATTTCAGACCTGGAGGGTTCACTCTAAGCGTGAGGTGCAGTGGTCGTGCTGTTTAAAAACTGGTGCTTGCACTTGTATATCTTGGCCAGAAATGCTGAAACTATTTGAGAGGAGTCGGTTGTTGGGAAGCCTTTATTTAACAGTTCCGTCCTTGTTTGAGCAATGTCTTGAAAAAGCAAAGAACCTCGTAGCCCCTCTTAGTCCAAGTGGAAGAGGGCAGAGTACTGGACGTGGGGGACACTCTAGAGGGAGATGGACATGGGGTAGAGCACTTATAAACGGTCCCTATGAGTCCTAGAGTGCACTGTGGATGATATGAAGGAATTATTGTTAATATTTTAACATACGATGATAGAATCATGTTGGATTCCTTATCTTTTAGATACATATGCAAAAATATTTAGAGATAAAATATGGTCTTGGATTCCTTCAGAGTAAACCTTGGGGGCACTGAGTGGACTATAGGTGAAAGATCGACCCTGTGTTGGTAACAGTTGATGCTGAGAATGGATATGTGAGAATTCATTATACTGTGTTCCATAATTTTTATTTAGTTTGAAATATTCAGTAATGAAAAGACTGAACTATTTTAATGGATTTGAGACTTATGTTAATGGCTGTAGCTGTCACCTATAACGCCTGATTTCAAATTTTCATGTTCATTGAAACATTTTCATTTTTATCATGGATTTGTCTGATATCAAGTTTGATATAAGTTTGAACCTATAAAAAATGTATAATGATAGAATACCAGTTTTATCTGTTTATGTGTTGGCATTCCACATAAGGTTTTATTTGGAAAAAGGTTGTGCTATGGGGTTGTCGGAAAAGTCATGATGCATTTTTACAATGAAAAACGTTGTGACTTTTCCGACAACACAATATTTAAAAATTTTGAAAATAATTTGACTATGAGCTCTTATCTATGTGGAGATTCTTCTTCCATTACTAGCCTTTGAGGATCTAAAAGTGAAATTATTAAAGGAAATGGTAGAAATTACATTCCCATAAATGAAAGGTAACCATGATAACTATAATCATTAGTAAATCTTCTTGTAAATACTATTATGTATTTCTTTCATATTTACACCTGTTTTTACAAAGTCAAACATAATTTTTGGTAGTTCATAATATTTTCAAATGTCTTTAATGAATTGTTCCCTAAGTTATTATATCAATACTTTCTGTCCTTGGTATAAATAATAGATTTTAACTAGTTGCCAGATCATGGCTAACCTATTATGAAGAAGTTTAAAAATACATGTATTAAAAGCTTGTGGGTTTTATTGTTGCCTATAAGAAATTTTTGTCACTCATTTAATGAAGGGCCAACATTTTCTTTATATTTTTAAAAGCTAGATGTTCTTTTTTTGTTGTTTTCTTTTCTGTTTCATGTGAGACCCACCAATTTATTTTGCATTTCCTGACGGAAGCACTGGAGCTGAATGGAATAAACAAAGTTTTACAAATTAGACCGTTGATATTAAACACATTTAGCTTGCTTCATGTTTTTGAAATTTGAAAAGGTAGCATGATTTCTATATATAACTCGGGTGATTTCTAGTGTATGTGAAGTTAAATTTAAAAAGCAAAGGTCAGGACAGCATAAATAATATGCTACCTTTTATTTAAGATAGGTGAAAGAATATACATGATATATGTGTATTGGCTTATTTTAAAAATGGAAAGATTAAACCAAAAACTAATAAAAATGATTTTTTATTAAAGGAGGGGAGACAGGGACAAAAGCTAGAATTCTCTAAATATACTTTGTTTTATAGCTTTTACTTTGGAACCATTTAAATGTTTAAATTATAAAACAAAAGTAAACCCAAAAGAGGGAAAATTAGCAATCTCTAAAAATTGAAACACACTAAAACAAATGAACCTAATTATATTATTTAGCTGTTGTGTAACCATATAGAGAATTATTTAAAAGTGATTTTTAAGGCTCTACCTCTCGCAGTGGGATATAGCCTAAAAAGCAAAAACAAAACTGCAAAGGAAACTTAAATTGTTTTCAGTAATTATATTGTTAGTAATAGTATCATTATTGTTATTCTAAAACTTTGTGTATGTGGGAGAGGGATATTAGGGTAAAATCAAGTAAGTAACGAAGTTATTGTCATAAAAAGCCAGGATTTATAGAGTAAGAGAAGATACATAAATGTTAAATTGCAATAGTAAAGATTCTATAATTCTATAAATTCTATATAAGTAAATAATGTAATTCTAAAAATAAGTTCTATAATGGTAAATTTGAGTTGCAGATACTATTATGAACTCATAATGTATTTTCTTCTTTCAAAACACTTCCTAGCCAAATATGGGATGACTTGAACACCAGTGAGGACGTAACCATAATGGATTGAAGCATATTTAACATGTTTAAGTCCATGATCTCATAATGATACTTACACATAAAAATGGTCACCGATAGGCAATGCTAACTACTTTGAAAACTGATAAATTAAGGTTAAGAATCAAACATTTATTCCACCTTCCCTATATGAACTACATTACTAGTAATTAGATCATTAGATGTGAAGTTTCTCTCTATAGTAGTTAGTATTCCAGCTAATAAATGAAAAAGGAATGATAAAATAGGATATTTGCATTTTGTAACACCTTATGAATGAATAGGAATAGGTATTGAGCATCAACACTGATAACATCACAAAGAGAGCATACCAGACATTTGAGCCTTCTAATGGAAGAACACATCATTACAGATGAAAAATAGACTTGCCCAAAATTTAACCAGAATTTGATGAAGCCTCCAGAACTGACTGCTATTGTAGAGGAAATAGAGAAAAACATGTTGCATGCACCACACAGTGGGAATACAATTAGCAAAATCCAGACGGTGGGAAATTATACAGGACAAGCAACCTAATTTCTTCATTAATTGCAAAGAAAAAAAGAGAGACATGGAGAGAGACATAGAAATGAAAAGCAACTTCAGAACCCTAGCAGTCAATTGCAATGCAAGGACCTAAATATGAGTATTTGACTATGTTTAAAATTCTCCCAAAATAATTTTTAAAGAGATCAACCCATTCCCTAACTTTGGCCACCGAAAGGGCTGAGAAGTAATGAACGATCCAACAGCACTGAACACTCCTTGTATACGAATGATGCTCTCTAAATGCACTTTCCACTAAAGATACCAGAGTGCCTGACAGAAGCGACTGATTCTGGGTTTGGGGCAGGAAGTGTACAAGAATAGCCTGTGATGCTTATCATCCCAGAAGCTATCAGAAATTACTCGGGTCATATCTGAAAGACCCAGAAACCAGCTTTAGTTTCCAGTGGCCAAAAGTGGGACATTTAGAGGATCATGAAGAATTACAGCTGCAAAGGATTGTATAATATAAAATATGTTAAAATATATGTATTCACAGTGATACTAAAGAAGTAACTCAATGGTCACTTTTGGAAGATGCTGGGAAACCCCGTATTATTCTGAAAACCAGTAAATAATGGAAAAAGAATTAACCATTTAATTTGCCTTTATTGCATGAACGGTGGCTCAGGGTGACCAGATAGTTGATGAATGCAAGTTCTTTTTAGAGAATTCTAGCTAATAAACGCTGGAGGAGTGATAGGATTAGAATGATCACCATTTTGGAATCCCTAATGCAATAGTGGATCTAGGCAACTATTATAAATAACTGCGAAAGCCATTAGATGAAAGAGTGGTGGAGAGTTTTATAATGGATAGATCAGGCTGACAGCACTTGAACCTGATTCTCCATCTTAGCAGCACTGAGAAAATACTATTAGACTTTATAGCATGTCTTCAGGAGGCACACAGCCTTGTCTTTGAAGTATTCTTGCCAAAAAATGGAATGTGAATCTAATCAAGCTTTTAGATATAACTATGGACTTACAGGAAATACATGGGGGGCCGGGGGTTGGGGGGGTTGCGGTAATCAGCAAAATCTAAAGTGTGGGAAACTACAGACAGATGACCCGGTTTCTTCTAAGATAAACAGCATAAAGGAAAAAAGAGAGAGAGAGGCAGTACATATCACCAAATGTAGTGCACAAACTGTTTTTATCCTGATTTAAACAAACCAACTTTTTTAAAAACCTGAGACATTATTAAGTATTGAAATTGGGCCCTTGATACATGTGGTTTATTATATGATTTTCTCTACCTTTGTATGTTTGAAATTTTTCATTCTAAAAAAATTTGACCGAGAAGTGGTTTGAAATTCTTGTTGTTTGTTCTTAATTGGTATGCAACTAAATTGTTATACATACTAATTCTATCATTTTCATCTACCCAGCATACTTTAAAATATTTTATGAAGCGTATTTATGTAAATGAATATTTAGAGTTATATGACTATTTAGAAGATGATAATTATTGAGTTACCTGTCCCTTATTTGCCTGTTTTTTAAAAATATAATTTTAGTAGGGTGTTTTCCTGAATTCATAGAATTTCAAAGCTTTGACAAAAGAATAATATGCTTTTTAAATTTGCCTTAAATTTATAAGATTTAAAAAAGAGGCTTAAGTTTTTAATAGGAAGTGTCCAGCTTTAATCATCTTGCTAGAATTTTTTATGTATTTATCTTTTCTGGTTTTAACTATGGAGAAATTGGGCTTTTAAGCATTCATTTTTATAGAATATATATTTAAAATTTAATTGATTTATTTTTCATTACAATAAGTGGAAATCGTCTCCTGATGTAGCCTGTGAATATTCTCTATCGATCAGTAGTCTCCTAGTAAAGTTTTGTGCTTCTTTACATGAAAATGAAAAGAACACATACTTTTAGAAATAACAAATCTATTCAAGTTCTCTAGGATGCTTTTTGTGGTAACTCAGAAGTGTGACTGCTCGTTTTAACCCTCTAGCGCGCGCAACTGATCTCACAGATTGTTTTGAATTTCTGTTGATTTTTATACTTAATTTATGTAATAAGCATATATTGTTTTTACTTTGTGGCAAATTAAAATTTCATTCTGAATAAATAATAAGCATGCTTACACGTTATTTTCATTCATTTTCAATTTAAATAAATAAATGTCATACATGCATCTAGTAGATGCACTGTGCCCAAACTCGTAACTTTTGCACTGCGCCCAACGGAGGGTTAAGAGGAAAAGTTTTAAGTCTTTGAAAGAGGAGTATTGCATGAAGCGTTGGACTGCTATTTGAAAAAACCCAGGCTAGGTTAACACCCTTGCCTTTTTTTTCGTTGGCTCTCTTCTTGTTGCTTGACCTCCATGTGACCTATAGATAATTTGGGTTCAAAGATACAGGCTGAGGGACTCAAGCCCAGACATTTGGAATTCTGCAGATACATTTTTCATATCTGGAAGAAGGAGCTTCTTTTCCAGCTTGGCAGGTTGAGTGGACTCCCAATGCTAGCCGTTATTATATGCTAGAAAGTGTTCTGTTAGGAGTTTCTTCCTAATTGAGAGGAGCTGACTATTATATGACCCCAGATCCTGGATTCCTTGATATGCCGCCTTCAGGAGTTGTCCCTGTGTCTGATCCTTCAGCCGTTCATCCCTTCCATTCTATCATGGGATACGCCCTTAGGAAGGCAGTCAGCCAGATTAATCGATGTATAAGAAGCAGGTTAACTAATCCATTGTTATACAGTCTGTAGCAGTTGCATATTTTGTCTTACAACAGTATAGACTAGTTATCTAATTTTCTTTATATGCATAATACTTATTCTCATGCTCTTGCTTCTATTATTTTTGCTTTAATGTCTGTTCTTTCCTCTCAAAGTATTTAAATCCTAGCTATCTTCAATGACTTAGCCTAAGCCCATCTCCTCAGGAAGCCCTCTTATCTTATATGGATATACAGTGCCTGTAGTCAGTCTTTTCTATACTGTGAAGTTAATCACCTTGTTATTTCCTTAGACAGTATCTGAGCAACTAATCAGTAACAAAGCAGTTAATGATAGATAAGGAAAAATTCGTGTCTTAAACTATTGTATCTTCCCATTTCCTAGCACAATTGTTGAAGAGTGATAGAGTGACAGGCATTCAATAATATTGCCAGTTGAGAGCTAGGAGTCAATTAAGAATTTTGAGTTCTTGGAGATCTTCAAGAATTGTTTAGGAGATATTTAGGACAATAAATGTTATAATCTAATGAAAAGTTAAGCTGAATTTCAGAGGTGCTAATTTATTGGAAATCTGTTTACAGTCTTAATAATGAAAAGGAAAATGATTTCGTTCTGTGTCTTGATTGGATAAGAATGGAAAGAGGACAATGTTAAATGATCACTTTTATTCATTTGATTGAGAAAAGAAGAGCTTTTGCTTTAAGTACTATGTGTGTGTTTATTATTTTAACCTTATATAAAATTAAAAGGCTTATATTCATTGAGTTACTGTCAGTCCAACCCTAAATCTGAAATTCTTGATTTGATAGATGTATATTTTCATACTTTAAAAAATAACGTAATTTTTATCAGAAATTGAGGGGAAAAATACAGCAAGGAAGTATAAGGGATTATGGATAATGACTATCACATTCAGAAAACTTGAATTTTTCCATGAAAAGAGGGCATTTGTAGCTCTTTATTTAATTTAGTTTCTTTGTTCTGATCCTAGAGGTAAGGGGCTAAAAGCCATTTAGGAATTCACTATGCAACTGTTTTGGACACATGTCTGGGACACAAAGAGGTGTCAAGTGTCCAGCATGTACTTTGATTATTTTTCATTTGTATTTTAATATTTTTTAAGAACATTAAGAAAAAAAACTTAGATGAGGCAAGTCTAAGGAGGATTAGAGTTCCATAGTAGGAGAAATAGTGTTCTACCGTACACGCTACAGAATGGTACCAGGATACCATAATTTCCAAAAGGTGTTTAGATTCTGATAATGTGACTGTGACTAAAACTTTTTGGAATGGTGGCAATTCACTAGTTGTAGAGGAATAGAAGAAGAGTCATCAGATATTACCAGAGACCTGTGTTCATTCCTTTTAATGAACTAAGAGTGTTGGAATCAGTGTTAGAGCTGAGAGAACTAACAGTATCAACCCAGTCAATTTGTAGTATGGGGCCTATGGAAATAAAATGCCTGGCCCAGTGGCACACCTGGGATTCCTGCTGTCACTCTTGAACCCTTTCTAATCAAGTCCAATGGCCATCTTATTTGTTTTTCAAAATATAAGACTTATTGGAGAAATGACTAGTGGTTCCCCTCCAGAAATGAGCTCTGTTTTGCTTCCTCTTTTACCTCCCAGCATCTTGCAGACGTTTATTTATTTGTAATAAAAACTTCACCTCTTGCAGTGTCTTTTTTATTTATTTATTTATTTATTACAAAATAAGAAATTGACAAGTATTTAATAGTCATATTCAGTACATATTTTATGTGTTGAAACAAAGTAAGTATGTAAACCCAAGTGATAATGGTGTATCCTAGCTCAAGAGATTAGAATCTATGTGTTTTAGAGCAACAGCTGTCTTGTCGTTGATTCTGTCTTTTCTTTAAATGTATTGTAGTTGAAGCTTCCTGTCATAACGGGGATGAAACAATTGAAACAATCGAGGCTGCTGAAGCTCTCCTCAATATGGATTCCCCTGACCCTATGCTGGATGAAAAACGAATAAGTGAGTGGTTATGTGGTTCATGTTTACACACTCACTAGTTATTCTTGCCATTGTTCTCATTAGATGATGACAATCAAGAGACCAGAGACCATGTTTTTTGTTTTTTTGTCCCAAGTGCATTTTAAGGCAGAGTACTATTTGAGACACCTTTGATAAAGTGTTCAGTTAAACAAGACTTTTTTTTTTTTAATTTGGGGAGTGAGGCCTTCAGGAATAAAAAAGTTATTTCTTTAGTTTTTAAATAGTAGATTATGCAGAATTTCTTCTCTTGACTTCATTGATGAAAGTATTAGGTTGTTTAGGGCCCAAACTATTCTAATTTAGTGATCTCTGTAGGTATTCATCAGTGAATAGGTAAACATTCACTGAAAAGCTTTCTAACAGTTCATGGTATAAAAATCACTGCCACATTTGATCTGCTTTTAAATCTGTGTTCTCCTTCAGGCTTTTCTGACAAGAAAGTAGTTAAACTCAAAGTTAATTAATGCTAAATCAGTTTAAGATGTTTATTCAGTAATTTATATGCACACCAGTACATTAGACAATAATGCTATACAAATGAACAGATATTGCCTCTTTTCCTGAAGCTTAATAATTTAATTTTGAAAATAGTTATTTATGTAAATAACTATAAAAACCAAAGATAAAAGTCATGAGAGGGAAGGGATAACAGTGTTTTCTGGAAGGAGAGGGTACTCTAGCTGAGAGCATCAGAGACAGACTTTATGGAGGGAGTGTTTTGACCTGGGCTGTGAATGACAAATAGCTTTTAATGGGTAGAGGAGACAGGAAAGGGTATGCAAGGTAGAAGGAATGGATTGAGCCAAAGATACTGACCTGTAAAAAAGAATGAAATGTTGTAGATACAAATGTTTCGATATAGCAGAAATGTAGGCTTCATGGTGTGCGGGGGATGAAATTGGACAAGGAGGTTTAATCTGCATTGTGAATACCTCGAAGGGTATACTGTGAAGTTTGTGTTGTTCTTATCTTTTTTCCCCTATAAACTATGAGAAGGTATGTCAGTTTTATTTTTCCTTCCAATTTTTAGGGTGTAAAGTTTTTATAGAGAAGAATAATATAGTTAGATCAGGCGTGGTTTCAGAGAATGACTAGCAGCACTGTGAAAAATGGAGGAGCGAGACAAGATAGACTGGTGACAGTCAAGTAAGGAAGACGTTGAAATAGTTCAGTCAAGCCTGGACTGACTTAGGATACCAGATTTAGGGCAGAGAAAGTAAAAAGCAGGGACTGGATTTCAGGATTTTATTGCTGCGTCAGTCTTCATAGAAACAGGAAATTATTTTGATTTATAATATGAAGTTGATAACTAGTTGATTTTATTTCCCTCAGATAATAGCATTTTTAGTTCATCTGAAGATGACATTGTTGTTGCCCCAATCACCCATGTATCCGTCACATTAGATGGGATTCCTGAAGTGATGGAAACCCAGCAGGTTCAAGAGACGTATGCACACTCACCGGGAGCCTCCTCACCAGAGCAACCTAAGAGAAAGAAAGGTGGGTGGTTAATTTGTTCAGGGCAAACTGTCCAGTCTTGATGTGGAATCTATAATTTTTACTTAAGGATATTTCTAACCAATTAAAACTTGTATAAGGAAAAAAGTGAGGGCACAATAAATTTAAGCGGTATTTCTTCACAGGAGAGTCCTCTTTTAAAAAATGAGATTATTTTATACATTTAAAATATTTGGTCTACCTTATAGAAAAGGTATGTTCTGACTTTTTAAAGCCTCAATCCTTTATCTACATAAACCCTTGTTTCCACACTCCGAAAGAGCCTGGGGATAAGGGCAGGTCAGCTTCCTCCCACGGGACATAGTTTGAAAACCACCAGCATAGATTCCAGTAGGAAAAATACGATTTGGAAATCAGCAGGTAAGTCACTGAAGAGGAAAATGTTAGAATGTGTTAAAGGGAATTTTTAATTTTTTACAAATTAGGACATACTTACATTTTAAAGTCTCACACTATTTTCATTTTATTGCCTTCTGACTACTCCAGCTTGTTTAATATTTTGATTAATGGCATCACTACCAGCTACCCCGTAACCTAACTTCACATGAAAGTAGGGAAATTACAAGAGCTAAAAATGAAGAGGAAAATAAAAGCAGTAAGCATGAGCTGACCCTGCAGCAGCTTCGAAGGCTGAGAAGGACTTGTCAGTCTGCATAGCCGCGGGGCTTGGGTTTTATTGCTCTTATGGAGGCACGCTTACGTCTTGGTCCAGTGCAAGGCGGGGCATGGGATCAGAGACCTCGGAGTTGATGGGGATCCTTGAAAGGCTATACCCTCAGGAGAAAAGCAATTTGCCCTTTGGCACAGACAGATGTCAAGAAAGTTTGTTCCTCAGCTGGGGCTCTGAGTGGAGAAATTCTTCTTTTAAAAATTCATAATCCGAGGCTTGGCTTAACCTAGGTTACAATTAGATTTTAAACTGTCACTGTCTTTTTGCGTTCCTAGCCAAGTAATTAACATAAACGTGATCCAAGGCTAGCATTAACTTAGGGGCACCAGGCAGAAGCTCTTGTAAAATTGTTGTGGCAAATCATACATTTAAATCAGGCTGCACATGATTTCTTCAAATAAAACTCTGTTTAAGGTGTACTCACATTTCAGTATCACAGAATACATGAGGGAAAAAGATACTTCCTGAATGAGAAGCTGACATAGAAAACCCTAGGGTTAGTTCTCTAAAAACTTCAGATAATAGAATTATCAAATAGGAACTTTCAATGAATGTGATTAAAATTATTAAAGCAAAAGAATAAAAAAGACACCATCGAAGAATAAGACTATTAAAAAACACCAGATAGAGCTTGCTCTTCTAGTCAAGATGGAATAACAGAACCTGACTTGGCAACGATTTTTTAGATATGACACAATGCACAAGCAACAAAAGCAAAAATTAAGTGGGACTACATTAAACAAAAAATCTTCTACACAGCAAAAGAAACAATCAACAAAATGAAAAAGCAACCTATAAAATGGGAGAAAATATTTGCAAATCATGTATCTGATAAGGGGTTAATAGCCAAAATATATAAGAAACTCATACAACTCAATATCATAAAACTCCAAATTCCGATTAAAAAATGGGCAGAGGACCTGCATAGACATTTTTCTAAAGAAGATATCCAAATGGCTAACAGGTGCTTGAAAAGATGCTTGCATCACTCATCATCAGGAAAATGTAAACAACCACCATGATGAGATACCACTGCAGACCTGTTAGAATCGCTGTCATCAAAAAGACAAGAAATAACAAGTGTTGGAGAGGATGTGGAGATAAAGGAACCCTCTTACACTGCTAGTAGGAATGTAAATTGGTTTTCCATAGCTATTATGGAAAACAGTAGGAGGTTCCTCAAAAAAATTAAGAATAGAGATATCATATGACCCAGCAATCCCCCTTCTCAGTATCTACCCCCAAAATTTGAAAGCATTTATCCATAAAGATATATGTACCCTTATGTTTGTTGCAGCATTATTCACAATAGCGAAGACATGGAAACAACCTAAAATGTCCTTCAACTGATGATTGGATAAAGAAGGTGTGGTACATATATACAATGGAATACTACTCAGCCATAAAAAATGACAAAAAATTGCCATTTGTGATAACATGGATGGATTTGAGAGTATACTGCTAAGTGAAATAAGTCAGATGGAAAAGGGAAAGAACCAAAGATTTCACTCATCTGAGATGGAAAACAGAAAGCAACAAACAAAACCAAACAAACTTGTAGAAATGGGCAACAATCCGATGGCTACCAAACGGGAAGGGGGAAAGGAGGAGGATGAAGAGGGGAAAGGGGTTCAAATATACAGTCACGACAAGAGACTAGACTTTGGGTGGTGAGCAAACAATGCAATATATAGAGGATGTGTTATAGATTTATACTTCTGAAACTTATGTAATGTTATTAACTGTTACCCCACTAAATACAATGTTATTAACCAATGTTACACCAATAAATTTAATTTAAAATATTTTTAAATAGAAAAACTTAAAATAAAAAAATACATGAATGCTTAGTTACCTGTGGATTGGACATGGTGGGGAAAGGTGAGATGTAAAGATTAGAAAGGGGCACAAAGTACTTTTGGGGGTGAAGAATAGGTTCATTACCTTTTTTCCCCCCCCGAGAGAACACCTTCACCTGACTTTTATTATAGTATATTGTTATAATTGTTGTATTTTATAATCAGTCTTTGTTTGTTTGTTTGTTTTATTAGTTTCAGGCATACAGAACAAAATAGTGATCAGACATTTACACAACTCACAAAGTGAGAACCCCAACAGGTCTACTATACCCGACACAGTACACAGTTATTAGAACATTACTGACTGTATTCCCCATGCTGCACTGATTATAGTTGACATTCAGTATTAGTTCATATCAGTTTCATGTATAGTATGTTCATTATGATGAATGTAGTGATGGTTTCACAGGTGCACATATATGTCAAAACTTATCAAATTATAAATTTTAAACATATGCAGTTTATTGTATATATCAATTATACCTCAGTAAAGCTGCTTTTAAAAAATAGAAGACTAACATCCTACTTAATGGTGAAAGACTGATATGATAAAGAATCAAATAGAACACATAATATATGGGCTAAACAGGAGAGTAGTCACAGCTTAAGAGAGAATCAATGAGCTCCAGTATAGATCTGATTTAGAATAAAAATATGAAAGAGTTTGAGATGTGAGGATTGAAAGAAAAGGTCTACATTTTGTCAAAGCTCCAGGAGGACAGACAACAGTTGAGTGGTTCCCAGAGGGTAAGGGGGAAGGGGGTGGTAGATGAGGGTAAAGGGGATCAAATATATGGTGATGGAAGGAGCACTGACTCTGGGTGGTGAGCACACAGTGTGATATATAGATGATGTATTACAGAATTGTACACCTGAAATCTATGTAATTTTACTAACCATTGTCACCCCAATAAATTTTAATTAAAAAATAAAACAAAACTCCAGGAGAAGAGAATACATAGAATAAGGAAGAGGCAATATTCAAGGATAGTGATTGAGAATTTTCCAGAATGATGTTAATCCTAGCATGGTGAATCCTGAGTAGCATAACTAAAATAAATTTAGGCCTAAATTCCATATAGTAAAAACGCAGAACACCAAAGACCCCATATCCCCTACCTCCCCCCCCAAAAAAAAAGAAACAAACAAACCAGGGAGAAACGACGTTACTTGAAAATAATTGATTATTAAATTGACAGCTTACAAACTCTCAGTAGGGGCTTAAAGGGTTGGTTGTCTTCAAAGTACTGATAAACTGTTAATCAAAAATTCTATACCAAACTAAGCTTTAACTTACAAGAAGCTGTGCACACTGCCACCCTGAATAGTGAGGAAAATGTTGGAGAGAATGGATATTGGGTAGGCTACCAATAGTGTCATGACTAAATCTAATAGAGGAAAATAGTGCGATAAAGAAAATGGTATCTATCAGAAAAAGCAGGTAAAATGAGATGGTAGGAGGGATAGGAGCTAACTGAATTCTTGGCTTCTAATACTTGTTATAATTAACACAGTCAGCCAGACGTATCTGCCTCATGCTTGGGTTCTCTGCAGATGTCTGCAGTGATGGAAGCTGAGACCCCTGGCCTACTGGGTTCCACCTTTATACATTGGGTAGTCTTACGAGGGGCCTGAGCAGTGACACTTTTTGACCCTCTTCTCCCTGACTTATATTCACCCTGACTTCAGAAATGCTTTCTTGTTCAGTTTGTCTGGGGATGGGTAGTTGCTAACCTTGTGACTTTAGCTCTAGAATTCTACTCTTCTAAGTTACTGCCCTATGTTAACCCAAAATTCACCCTTGTGATCTAGACCAGAGAGAGAGTCAGCTTCAAGAATGTAGGAGGGGTAAGAGGTACTAACTACATAAAGCATCCAAATGTGCTTATCTTCATTGTTTCTCATATACAGAATGGTCCTCTGTTCAGACAGCATGATCATCTCTACTTAAATCACAGGCAACATGGGCACCAAGTTATGATTCTAGATAAGTGGCAGAAGATCACACAAGGCTCTAGAATAGTTGGTTGACCCAGTCTAAGGCTGCAAAAATACAGTTTAATACTATTGGAAAGGACTTGTTTAGAGATTGGATGATGGATAACCATAAAGTTTGTTTGCTGTGAACTGAAAGAAATACAGAAAAATGAGATGTTTAAAAATACACAGGAAAATAAAAAATGACTATATGGTTCACCAAAAGTTCACCACAGTTGTTTTTTATATCTAGAGTTTTGAGAAGCTTTCAGTATTTGAGAACTAACTATGCAAAGATGTATTTAGAAGAGAGAAAAGCTAAAGTCTACTTGTCCTACCTTAAAAAGCTTTTATAACCTATAGCAGACAAACCTACATGGCTTATTTTTGGAGCTCAAGTTTTATCAGCATCAAGAATTTTCCCCCGAATTTTAAGAAAGCACCATCAGTATTGTCACCTCAAAGACAAGATGCAATGTTTTAAACTTAACCTCGTTTTTACAAATGAGCCCAAGTATCATTTTCAAAGTGTTTGCAATCTAACCTACATTAATGTTAAATTTTTACTGGTTATTTTTCTTTTAATAGCACTTAAGGAGCCCAATATATGTGATCCATGTATAAAGTGGCACTTGAAATTTAAGATAAAGGACAAAATGGCACTTACAAACAGCTAAACTGTCCTTTCTCTTACCCTTTTGAGAGCACATATTTATGCAGAGCTGTTCTGATTTCAGGGAGAAAAACTAAACCACCACGACCAGATTCCCCAGCCACTACACCAAACATATCTGTGAAGAAGAGAAACAAAGACGGGAAGGGTAAGTGCCACTGTGATTCTCATCATACGTACTTGTCAGATAACATTCAGATTAGTTTGAGCTCAAGCTTTAAAACGTCTGCAGATTGTAAGAGGAAATCACCAGCTTTCTTGACATTTTGAAATGGAACTTATTGCTGTCACATGCTTATAAGATACCATTGCCACTTTCTGTAAAGAGAGTGGTAATAATGAAATCCAGAGAAATCCGTTTAGAAGATTTCCACTCACCTGTCAAAATAATCCACTCATTCATTTAATAATGAGACTCTTGGAAGAGTGACGCCAGATTAGGTTTTTATTTTATAGATATTTTATTACATTGTTTTGTAGTTTGAATATTTTAATAACTGCTGCCCAAATTTGAAGAAAATTGTTATGGCTAATCCACTGGCTGTAATAGAAAGAGAACGACTATTGAAAGGTTTTGTACAGGTCTTTTTTACTGTTTTTTCTATGTTATGATTCTTAGCAGGAAAAAATCGTCTCAAAGGGTTTTGTTTGTCCCTAAGTCATCATAAATCTAATTGGCAAGATTGCTCTGTCAAGATATCTTATATGGGACTAGTAAAAAGATTTATATTAGGCCCTAAAAATTATGATCATTATATTATAAATACTAACTGAATTGTATAATAGTTTTGTATAATTATAGATGGAATTTATAAGACTTTTAGTTGTGTTTTATTATGCTGTTTCAGCTGAAATTTAGGACAGTTAAAAAGAAATTGCTTTTGTTTCAGGAAACACAATTTATCTTTGGGAATTTTTATTGGCGCTGCTGCAAGACAAAGCTACTTGTCCTAAATATATCAAATGGACCCAGCGAGAAAAAGGCATTTTTAAATTGGTAGATTCTAAAGCAGTGTCCAGGTTGTGGGGGAAACACAAAAACAAACCTGATATGAATTATGAAACCATGGGGAGAGCTCTCAGGTATGTGAAGTTTTTGTAGTTCATTGGGTTAAGAATATACTTTCCTGAATACTAAAAAATAGATTACTTCTAAAATGTTAAGGAATTTTAAAAATGGCGAATTTTATTTATCGAATTGTTAAAACCACACTACTTATAGACGTCAGTATGCATTTATATTATTTCGATCTGGGAAAATATTTGCCTTCCAAAAAAGATCTTCGTGCAAACAATAGATATTTTATTTATAAAGGGATCTGAAAATGTTAAGCCATCATCAGGAATTGTACATTGACCACAGAACTGTTTTGAGTCATTAAATTCAGCACAGAGTACAAATAGTGGTAATACACGTACTTAATAAGAGGGTGCATTTTTAAATACGAATCTCAGATATGACATGTAATATATTATGGTGGAATAAATTAATGCTTTGAGGTTAATATTAGATATTGTGAAAATTTTCAACTAGGTTATCATTTTATCCAAGATATGCATGTATTTGAGATTTATTAGAAATAGCAATGATGTACTAACTTGATAACCTTCTTAAACTACAACTATGTATTTAGTTACATTTTTTTCTTAACTTTTTGGTTATTTAATTGGTTATTTTAATTAAAATTATTGACAAAATTTGAATCACTTTTATTTGTATGTTATTAAATCTTTTACAGAAAACTGAATTAGATTTACAGAATCAAATTTAAACTGGTTGGAATGTCATAGGGAGGTATGGAAGGGAAATAATTTCTTGAGTTTGGTACTGCATTCATTTATTCCTGCAAGTTAGCTGGCAAGGGTAGAGGAAGGAAGAAAAGTGAAAACTAGAATAATACATATACTTTATCAACAATCCCCTAATTAAAATTGGTTTTCAATTTAGTGGGTAATAGGACTTTTCTCTATCTGTGAGTAAATGTGTGTTTTACATATATTTAGAAAATAATGTTTTTAATTATAGAATCTTATATTTTTTTAAAAAACTGCCCTTCATTTAGAAATTCTTTTCACACTTGTTTCCAACTTGAAACTTTAGTTTATGATTAGGAAATTTTTATTTTGGTGACTGTTATTTTAACTTATGCTTAATTGGATAAAAGACTGATAGATTGTCTGCTTTGAATAGGTATTATTACCAAAGAGGTATTTTGGCAAAAGTGGAAGGTCAGCGCTTGGTGTATCAGTTTAAGGAAATGCCAAAAGATCTCATTTATATAGATGATGAGGACCCAAGTTCCAGCATAGAGCCTTCAGATCCATCACTGTCATCTTCAACAACCACTTCAAGCAGGAACCAAGCAAGCCGATCGAGAGTGTCTTCAAGTTCAGGGATAAAAGGAGGGGCCACTACAGTTCTAAAAGCAGGGAATTCTAAAGCTACAAAAACCAAAGATCCCGTGGAAGCTGCACAGCCATCAGAGGTTCTGAGGACGGTGCAGCCCACACAGTCTCCATATCCCACCCAGCTCTTCCGGACTGTACATGTGGTTCAGCCAGTGCAAGCTGTCCCAGAAGGAGAAGCCGCCGTGATCAGCTGCGTGCAGGACGAAACGTTAAATTCCTCGGTTCAGAGTATTAGGTGAGAAAACTGAAGTTCCCGATGTGTAGCATTCTGTGACATTCCTGACCGAGGCCATTATTTGTTAAGTGGGTTAAGATTTAGAGTGAAAATAGAATTGATACAGATTTCAAGCTAGAGTTCTTGGTCAACAGACCATTTTACAGCAGCAGTGTATATTATATATCAGACCTCTGGTTATATATATCAATGATTCCTTTCTTTTTAAACTTTGACATTATTGATGTTATTCTATTAGTTGAAGTCTAGTCCTCTATACCTTTTTATAACCAGATTGATCTGTACAAGAAGGGATGCACAAATAAGAACATCTAGAGAATGATTGCAGATCTTTTTTCAGAGTCAGAAGCTGTAAAAATTCAACATAAATTGACATATCATGACCTTTTGGAATGCACTGAGTTCCAAGGAATAAACATTATTCCTTGGGAAGATCCTATTATGGAACAGTTCCAAAGTTCAAACAGGTGGGGAAGCCAGGAATCTTAAGTTCCTCTTTTTCAGGCTTTTAGAGTGGCAGAAGTTTGGAAGAATAGTTTTTTTTGGCTTAAGTCAAATTTGCCTCATCGCCCCAGGGAAGATACAAACCAAGACCAAGAAAACCCTATCTGCTTTAGAGTGATCTTTTGCAGAAATTTGGGACTGGTCTTGGCTGATTTAGAATGGGAGAAAGGGAGGAAGGCAGAGAAAATTAGGTAGACGTTTGTAGCAGTCCATTTTTGTTTTTCTACTGTCATGAATTTCCAGAACATGAATTATAATAAAATATAGGAGCCCTTCCAAATCCAATAAAAATGATTCTTTGATTATTGTCATTAGCCAACTTCAGCCTTATATTTCTGTATTCCAGAATATAAATGCTGGATTTTTTTTCAATTGATCTTAAAGCAAGTAAAGACTATGTAGAATCAAAATAGACTCAGGTGATTCAGTCTTTCTCGTATGGTCCATATAAACCTTTGACATTGTGAAAATTGAATTCTCTTAAATCTTTAGTTGACTTGCAAAGAATAGGAAGGTCACATTTTTTCCATTTTAATTGGACAGTAATGATACAACTTTAACTGACATTAAAGAAATACTTATTTAGCTCTCTATTTCCTTTTAATATTTTATTTTCCTCCAGATCCTACTGGTTACATGTGATGACTGAGTATCTAATTGGAAGTACATGGTTCATCCTGTTGGTTTCTAGGCTCTTTGTCATCTTGTCATTGTATGTGTTTGTGTTGATAAGAAAACATACAATGGCCACAGCTAATCACTCAGACCCCCTTCTTGGAGTGATTCAGTGGTTCTTTAGCATCTGTAATCAAAGTTTCCTTTAGAGACCTTGAAAATAAAACCAAACAAAAAAAAAACTAAAAAAACCCACCCCTCTAGCTCTGAAAGAAATCAAATTGTGATATTGTATTTGATACTTTATTACCCTGAATATCAATTTCTGAATAAGACTCAGTGCCAGATATGAAAATACTGTAATTATTTTCCATATACCTTTCAGAATTTTCACTTCCAAGATCCCTGAGAGTCTGTGGACTCCGTGCCTGCTTCTTGCCTCTAATACCTTTTCTCTTCAGTCCCACTTACGTGTTACTACTACACGTAGCTTTGTTATGTGCCTTCTTGCAGCTTCTGTTAGATCTATGTTGTACACACAGTGCAGTCCTGTTTCAGTAGCCTCAGCTGCCAGCTCTCACTCTCTCCTCATATTCCTTCCTTGCTCTCCGCCAAAGCTGACTGCCTGCCTCTACCTCAGTCTAGTATATACATAAACTGGGTATTTTCATTTACTCTAATACCTGTCTCCTCCTGTATATTTAAATCTGTAGGAGCCAGATTTTATTCATTGTCTGTTTCCTAGCACCTAACATAGTATCTGGCACCTAACACCACTTTATAGAATTTATTTTGAAGCAGTATATATATTCATTCTTTAATCTCGTAGAGCAGTGAGTTCTTTAAGCGGACTACTTACAGAATGAAGAAGTACAAAATTTAATTTTTCAAACTTTAAAACATACTTTCTTATAGACATCATTGTATATTTATGTGTATGTATGTACACAAATACATTCTTAGTCATTTCTTTGACTTTTAAAACAATTCTTCTCTCATTTGTTTCTACCTTTAATTTTCCACCCCAAAATCCTACGTATTTTAAAGCAGTTAAACTTTTAATTGAATGCTTTTTTCCCCCTAAAATAGCTATTACACTCTTTGAAGATTGACAGCTGCTGAATATAATTACCCAGGTTTTGTTATTATCTTACGGTTTTCTAGTATATAGAAAGTAAAAGTGTTAAATAACTTTCAAGCAAACTGTACATAACTCTGAAATTTTAACATTATTAGATCAGTTTTTCATAAGATTAATTTCTTGTTTAGTGATTTCTTTTTTAATATGCATTTTTAAATTACCCCAACTTTTTATTATGAAAAATTTCAAAAGAAACATTGAAATAGTACAATGAACACCTATTTACCATCCACCTAGATTTTCAATTGATAGCTTTTTGCTTTATGTATTTTATCTCTGTATTTATTTATTTATACCCTTTTTTTTGTTTGGCTATTTATTGAGTAAGTTGACATTGTTATGACATTTCACCCCTAAATATTTCAACCTACAATTCTTAAGAATAGAGGCATTATCCTAAATACCATATTATCACTTCCAAGAAGTTAACAATAATTTGGCTATATCTTTTTTGATTTTATGACCACTTATTAATAAAATCAAAGACCTTTTAAAGATTTTTCTTCTGTAGTTGAGAGAAGGTGAATACCACATGTGACTTAAAATTAGATTATTAAATTAATACAAGGGCTGATGCTTTGAAAACACTCTTTTGCATACACTTTACATATATTAATGTATAGAATCCTCACTGCTCGATGAGGTGTAGGTAATGTTATTCCTATTTTACAGATGAGGAAACCGAGGGAAGGAGAGGCCAAGGAGCCTGGTCACATCTAGTAAGTGGTGGAGACAGTGTTTTAATACAGCTTAGTCCAAAGCAGGGAGCTTAATGATTTGTCATAACTGCCTGTTGATTCACATAAATCGCATGAATTATCAGTTACTTATAATGAAATAGCAACATGTTTTTTCTTTTCTCAGTTTCTTTCCCTTGCTCATTTCTTTGTATCTCACATAATTGCATGTATTTATGTTGAAATCAATTAAGTGTTTCTTAATTGATTTATGGTATATGTGCTCTGTTTTTACAAATTTTAATTTTGACTCTGGCTTCATGTTATTTTTAGAAACAACAACAAAAATACACCTGGTAAAATATCTTCCTAAAATTGCCCCTTGGTAAACTTGGAAGTCCATATACCTACCTAGCATAACTTCTTTCTCTGTAATGTCTAGTCAAGCACTAATAGTTTCTCTGAGGGTCTTTTAAATAAATTAGCCTCTGAAAATGTATAATCTGTAGGTTATCTTGAAAGCAGTGTAATGGAGGAGATAAAAAGTAGGAATAACCTTTCAGCCCTCCAGTCTTGTGAATTGTTAGAAGTAACATTGAATTATATTTATTAACTAATCTGAATCTGTTTTCTCATCTACAAAATAAAGATGATAATACTTAACCTTACAGGTGGTTATAACAATTAAGACACTTCCTGATATCTGAGTAGATACTCAACAAAAGCTAAATGTATACAGTCACACGCCGCATAATGACATTTCAGCCAATGACGGGCTGCATTTATGATGGTGCTCCCATAATGGAGCTGACTTTCCTTTAAGAAATGGGAGGATATGGAGTTCAGGAGGAAATCTTTCTTCCTCTGACAGGAGCAGTATCCGTGGGGCTTGGCAGTAGACTCCCTCTCACTCACAGCAGCACCTCAGCTTAGAGCACACAGATCACACCCCGTCCGTCAGCCACTGACCTTTCTCAGCACAGAGGAGCCTGGCCCCTCAGCACTGCACATTCAGGGCGCCACAGCCCCCCCAGACCCAGCCTGACGGTTCACAGTGCATGGCTATCACTTCTGTGTTCAGGACCTAAGGTCCTGCATGAGGACAAGGGTCCCCAGGAACTACCCTGACAAGAGTTAGGTGCCACCGCCACTGTACTGAAAGCTCCCTGTGGTAGCAGGGAGCAGCCTGGCCCTGTCCTCTGGAAATATTTTCAGGTTGTAATGATGTAAAACATAGATAGGTTTGATTTCTTCCACCAAGTCAATGCCAGAGAGAGTCCTTTGTGCCAGATCGTCAGTGGAACCAAAAACAAATTTCCAAAGTCAAAATACTGAGTCCCCAGTTCTATACCCTTTCCATGGTAACCTATTTTTTTTAATGAAAAGCACACAGTTCCTTAATCTGAGCATGCTCCAACATGCAGTAGCCAAAACCACATTGCCATGACGATCCCCTGTGTTCCTTCATCTCTCCATCTTGATTTTTTTTTT